ACTTGGAAAAGCATTTTTATTTCCTGATGACCGTAAATCGTTGTATGCATTCCACACAAGTTCCATTTTAAATATCGGTTATACGATACAGTAACATCTAGATGGGTTCCAAAACAATCGCGTTGCATGGTTTTGTAGAATTATGGTCTAATGCCGTATTAAGATTACCGTAATAACAGATCCAATCCCAAAATTGTAGATTTTTCATGATTTGGTTACCTAATTTCTAAGATTCTACTTGGAAATCACATTATTGTCTATGCTGACTCGTCCTTTCACGACGATCAGAAATGTGTCTAACATTTATTAAGAACACATGTTACATTGTCTGCATCTGCGTGACCGAGTCATACCATTTCAATTAATAGTTCCCGCGTTCAACATCTTCGAATTTCTCTCCGTGTTAAATGTTGAGTGTGAATTTTCTGAGTTAATTTATGTACAGCTTAAAGTAAATAAACATAACCACTGGGAAGAAAAATTATTTAATGATAATTATAAGTCAATTTGTCAATGGTTTAATGCATTTTACCAATGATATGACGTAGTTTTCAAGTCACAGCAGTGCTTTAGGACGATATTCAAAAACCATTATTAACGACCAGTGATAAATGAGTATTATATTTTAGTGTGATTCGGAAATATCGGAAGTTCGTAGTACATACCGATCCAAGCCGCCTGATCGTATTACAAGTTTTGGTCTAGAAATATTTGTCAACTCAGCGTTAACTTTGGTAGTAAACTGCAGAGTTTTAATTTCAAATGCTTGTTTGACTAGCAATTACCTGACAGTTAAGTTATTATACCAATGCAGTACGATATCGTAACGAGGTAATTTTATTATCTGAACTACGTTAAACGTCTTTCTAGGCACTTAATATGGTAGTACAATTCATAAACCCGTGTGCTTATAGCAATAAGGACTGTGAAGCTTGTTAGAGAAATAATTTAAATGTTGAGACGACCTGTGAACCTACAGTTAGGAACATGGTGTGTATAATATGGACTTCAAAAAAGAGGTTACTGTAGTTGGTCTAGTAACATTTATAAATATGTAACAGTGATAATTAGAACCAGGGAATACCAAAAAGAAGTTGAATGTAATATGGCTTTCGCGGTAACGACACAATTATAGTAGCATTTCATCTGGACCTATTATGTCTTTTTCATAACGAAAACGGTTGTGAAGTATTAACACTATAGTTTCGCTCTCTTAATACCGAAAAGTCTAGGTATATGTACATGAACACGTCGAACACGCAGATGAATTTGTAGCTGAACAAGTTGGGATTTAAGCAACTAGGTAGCATTTTCGATTCTGTAGTGAAATATTCCAAAAGTCTCTTTTAGCGAAAAAGTTACATTCCTAATTTTTAAAGCTTTTAGACACGTTGGGCCTATCGAATGTAAATTCCATTCAAAACAATTCGAAATAAACCTCTATAAGGTATGTGTTCGGCTCTTACTAGAATACTGCTCAATCGTATTCAGTTGCATGTGTTTACCAGTCCATCAGAAAATTGGAAAGTATAGAGCTATTTTACAAGACTTCTCTCGCCAGACCTATCTCATAAAGGTAAAAGTGAAGCGCGGCAACTGGATCCACCATAGTGTAGACGAATTACACTTAAGCTTACCTTACTTTTTGAAATTCTGTATAATGGTGTAGTGGCACTGAACCATAACCACACAATCTTCAAAGCTGAACACGAGACTAATCGGAAAATAGATATTCAATATTTAACGTGGAGAAATACCCAACGATGGGGAAGGCGGGAACAAGGAATTGAAGTAATTGGAGTTGATCGGATGGCATGGCTTGTCCATGCAGGCGTGGTCCCTGTGGAATGTTACCTTATGCCTTTTTTTCATATTCAATATATTGTTCTTTCTCTAGCCTAAGCTTGTTCTCCATCATGTATTGGTAATTGTTACGATACAGTGAGTTCGTGTAGACGATGATGTGACTTCCAGGTAAGATCTTATATATTAAGCAGTTATATCATGACAAATCTACAGTTTTAGAATTAGGTCTATTACTAGAGCAGTTCTAATATCATAGTAGACTATAATTCTAAAATGGTAATACAGTAAACTGTGATATCTCGAAATTTGCAAAAACAATCATTCTAACCCTCAGAATTAAGATTTTGTGCTGAAGATATCGAGAACACTGAGAAAATTAAAGTCACATTTACTTGACACTAGCTACTCGGGCCTTTGAAATAGGTCATCGGCAAACATGCGGTCTAATCAAATGCTTACCCAGTTTATATCTATCGTAAGCTGCTTCATGGACCAATTTGGAGTTTTCTGCATTCCCAATGTGACGCATTTTAACCGAGCCCTACTTGACGATAGGCCATCTGGCACCAAATCCTGTGAACAAATAGCCGACTGACACATAGTGCCCACGTCACAAAACACTGATATTTGCCACTTAATAAACTCTGTCACTTCAAATTTTACACATCGCAGTCCTAACACTGTGCTTCACTCGTTTTTCTTTTTTATATGTATTGCATTTATCTTTAAACCCCCTTTGCTCTATTCTCGTCCATTTTGACAACGCTTAACACTTTTTTCGGTTTATTTAAATGCAACTACCTGTTAGGCAGCCATATTCCAATAAGTGATGAGTAATTTATTCAGAGATTGAAGTTTATCGACATGGCAATTGTATTGGTGGTCCTGAAAAATTAATTCGCCATCAGAGACTTAATTTGTAATCTGCTTGACAAAAAATATCCCCGTAAATTAAAATAACTGTTTATTGTTTGTATCTAGTTTCAAATGTCTTGGATGGTTAATTGATGGTGACGGCTTCAGCCCAACTTCATTGATATTTATTTGGAAAGAAATGCGATATTGGTACAGATCACAAAACCAAAAAGTTCATTAATTATCCTGAAAGAACACTAACATTTTTTTCTGCTGCTACGGTTCAACTAAGTGGTATTACTTTGAGCGCTACTATTCAGCACAGAAGCATTAGACAAACTCAGCGTGTAAATGACGTGTCTCGTACGTTACGAAAAATGAACATGCTGATAATACGGAATGTTTATTAATGCAACCTTTATAAAGGAGCTATAGAGATCTCATTAGAGAACCGCGTCATTATTTCGGATGTATACTTATTCCTATACAAAAAGGTTGGAAGGATAATTTGACTCGAACATTTTCTGTCGCTTTCGCGAAGCCAATTGGATTGTCGACTTCCCTTGATAATATTTTGTGCTTGAACTATCATGCTGTTATCCTCTCTTCAATGCGTAAATCCCTTTTGTGGATTTTCCCAATGAACAGTTGAGAGTTGAAAAACGAAAATCGTAAATAAATGCAGGTGTGTGCCACGTGGCAGACAACGAATAAGTATTTCGCAAGCCGAAATATCCTTCTTCAAAGGGAACATCATGCTCAGTATAATTTTAGATCGGAGGGTGAATCCATACAGCTACTTTGATTCATTTCACAGGACAAACTATGAACGTATCGTCAGTGATTCATATTCAAGTAACCTGAAGGTTTTTCACAACTTCATCGAACTCTATCGTCACTATATAAGCACTGAGAAAGGTGTGCATTCTCAAAGGGATTCACGTGGTAACAGTGACTGATGATGGCTGTTATTTTATCTCAGGTGCATTTAATGCCTGATTGAATAGTATAGAGTCCAAATAATTTTTTACTGCCCCCAAACACGCTTGTTCTAATTGTCAGATACAAAATATCTTCAGGACGTTACAAACCACTAATGATTTGACTGCTTCTGCAACATTCGATGAGCTGAGGAAGGAAGTTGACACATTTCTGCTGCAGTATAAAAGTGCCAAACATTCGGCAACAAAAGATGCTTCACTAGAATTGTTAGGGGGGTTAGAGTGTGCGTTCGAGCATGAAAAGTTTAGAGTTCATGGGAGTTATAAATTATCATGGGAAGACTTTCGTTTAGACACGAAAATTTCGGTGAGGAATGTTGGAAAATCTATGGTTCCAGCTCTAAATATCAATGATTTAAACTTACTCTGTGGGTCTGCCGATTAAATGTAATTCTGAACATCAGAAAAGTTTCTTCTGATTCACGTTGTGGATCCTGATACAAACGGTAATTTCTTTCCATATAACTGTATGTTAAAAATGCCTTGACAGCTTTTAATTGTTATATGACTTACTGTAATAAGTTACTCATTTAGGTTGGTACGTAATAGAACACAAAAGAAGGTGAATTTGCACGCATAAAATGAATAACTATATGAATAATAATACAAATCAGGTTATGCCATTTTACAATCATGATCAGTTTGAAACATACATATGCAGACAAGATATTACCGAAGTAAGGTTAATAAATGGGAGAGGACAGTGAAAATTTCGGTACGATATTCATGCAATTGCGCTAAAGATGTCACAAATATTCGGAGTTTCATAACGCTTCTACTCATAACACCGTTAAAATCGAAGTATCCAAACACAGTAAAATAAACTATCAGAAATGTAGGGGTTTGAAGATATATTTGGAAAGCTACCGATGTGTTGAGAAGCGTTTTTTCTAAGCTGGCTAACAGCTGTAAGGTGTATGTCGCACAATGTACCCACTCTAGAACGGGTGTGGATGCATGACTAAGCGGCCCCAGCTTGAATGTGACCAGTAAAACCAATGAGGCCAGCATAAGTGTCGAAGACATGTAGAACATTTTTTTGGGATTTATTTACTGCCAAAAGCTATTTAATAACAGGCCCTACCCGAATGCTTGTATGATCGACGAAAATAATGTAACTCATGACAGTTACAAGTACAGTTTAAACCAGTATCGATTTCATGAGAACCCAGTGAGCAAAACAGAGTGTTGAATCAGGAAATTAATTCGATCGCTGAATAATGTACAAAATAATCATCGGTTCGTACAAATACATCATTACCACAGGCCAACCAACCCCTTATGCTTGCAACTGACCGCTAGTTGCTTTTAATGCATCAATTTTCAACTTCTGTTTCTATTACAATCACCCAATATTTTAATTGATGGAGTTACTAAATGGACTTCCTAAAAGTATTCGGCATGAAGATATAAAATTTTTGTCTTCTAAAACAGTAGAAAATGCGATTTCAAATGGCACGCTTGAGTCCGAAAGAATTTTCAATCGTCATTTAGTTAGTGAAAATCTGGAAACATTACTGAAAAAATGGTTAGATGAAGGTGATGAGCAATGTGCATTTTATCTCGGTCAGATTTACTTTGAGAAGGTAACCACGGTAGAAAAAATTTAACTGAAGAATCAGGAGAAATATAACGAAGCGTGGACTTATTTCCGAATGGGTTATGAAAAGTTTAATGATCATAAATCGAAGTTCCAACTCGGTATTATGTTATATGACAATCTAGTCAGTAAAGACGTGACAAAAGTTTCAAACCCACAAGTAGTTTTCATGTTCATAGTTACTCCATCAGGCTAAAGCTTGTGAATTTTTTAAGGAGATTATGACCTTGAACGTCCAATTAGCTTTACCCGTCGACCAAAGAAACTTGGTTTTTAGTGCAGCTTTTAATCTTGGAAGAGCATATTATCAAGGCTACGGAGTATGTCCATCTACGGAAGATGCTTTGAGGTGTGTCTAATGGGTGTTATCAAAGGAATGTAGATCTAAGTAAAAAAAATGATTTCTATATATATATTCTTTATTTGTATCTGGCGCAATGAATGCATTGACTGTCAGGCGATGGATTGCAATGGGCAGTTACTTTCAAGTAATCGCTTACCATCTCTTCCAAGTCATTTCGTTCCTAAACACGTGTTGGAGATTTACCGTTGACAGATTACCGGTGACCGTTTCTAGGTCCATCGCGTATTAACACGCTGCTTCTAGAGTTGATTTTTCTTCCGAACTTGATGTATGTTTTCGATTCCAAGAACCATGTTTTTTGTCTGTTTCTTTGTCTTTTCCCTTGAGTATTCCAAGTTAGAGCTCGTATTGTGGTTCAGTTGGATGGTTTCTGTAGTATGTCCAATCCACATTCAGAATACTTTCCTAATTTTTTCCTCACTTGACGGCTGGTTCGTTTTGTGCTAAAATAGATTATTCGTCATAATACGTGAGTACTGAATTCTGTGTCTATTACGTAGACAGTTTTTGAAAAATACCCGTACATTTTTGGTGGTGATGGAAGTTCTCTACATTCCATTTTCTTACAGTAGGATGTTTTTAAAGTTAGTGTTGAAAATTTTGACTTTGGCATTCAGTGAAAGTTCTTTCAAATTCTATAAACGTTTTAACTGTAGGAATGTTGTTCTTGCATTGCCATTTAGTACTTTCACACCTACATCAGATTCTTTTTGTTTGTCAGCGGTGCTGTTGTAGTGTATAAAGGCTCACAACTCTTCTGGAGCTTCACCATCAGGTGTAATCTAGATGGTGTTCAGTGTATTGTATTTCAAAATATAGCTTTTTATCTCGTGAATGTTGATGCCTAGACTGGCTTTTTTCCTCTATGTTTGCTGTTGTGGATGGGATAGCAAGGCTGTTATCTGCAAATTTCAAATCGTTCATCTGTGTCCATGATATTCACTGTATTCTGTGGTTCGCCTGTAACGTGGAGATCTACATTATCTAGTCAGTTGTCAGAACAACGAGGAAGTGAGAGAGTAGGTAGTCTCGTCCGGTACCAGTCCTCACTCGGAATGCGTCTATGAGGTCCCCTCTGAGCATGGATTCAGCCCCTTGATAGAGTTTTGTATGATTGTGACCAACTTCTCGGATACTCTACAGTATTCGAAAAGACATTACAAGATTTTACCGTGCACGCTGTCAAATGCTTCCTGATAACCAACGAGGTCGATATGTAGTGATGAGTGTCATTCGGTTGACTGTTCAACGATGATTGGCAGAGTTGTGACTTGGTCTGTACCTGGTAGATTCTTACAAAAGCCAGGTTGTTGATCTGAAATTTGAGTGTGTACTGAATCTTTCATTCCGTTGACCAACAATCTACTGAAAACTTTGCCTAGTATTGACAAATATGTGATGCCTCTGTAATTCCCATGCTTACTAAGATCTTTTTTCGGTATCTTGGTAAGGTGTTCCTATTTTCAATCTGTCAGAACTTATTCTTATTAAATCTTTCTGAAGCGAACATTGAATATTTGTGGAGTCACCCCTAGGTTTGACTTCAGTGCCTTGGCTGGTTCACCTCCTCGTCCAGCACCTTTGATACTCTTGACTTATCTGATCCCTTATTAATTTTTTTTTGTTAGTGGGGTATCACCTCGGCGGAGGTCAGTATGTGCTGCTTTGACGTCCGGTGGATTCAGTGAGATTGGTCTACTCAAGGGTTCTCCGTAGTGTTCTATCCACCTAATCTGCTGCTCGTGAAACTCAGTGATGGGATTTCCCTCATTTATCCTGATCGGTCTGTCTGGTTTATTATATTTTCTTACAAGCTTCTTGGTTGTTTCGTATAGCTCTTACATTTTCTTCTCTTGGATTTTGTTCTACTTTTTTTCTAGGTCTTCTACATGTTTTCGTTTATAATCTCCAGCTCCTTTCTTTGTCCATTTGTTTATTTCTGTATACTTAATAAGTGCCTTGGGTTTCTATGCTTTTGTTGGACTGCTGATGATGATTGTTACCCACTAATTATTTCTTCATTGAATTTTTTTCAGGCTGTCTAAAGAGATCCATTTTCTATTCTGATGGTTCTTGGAGTCCAGGATCACCTGACATGTTAAAGTTATTGCTCCCCTAGTTATTTTCCAGTCTCTCTTAGTAGTGTTTTCCTCTTCTCCTAGTAAGTACCTAACAAAACGGCTCCGAATATCAGTTAATGATTTTATGAACTGACTTCATGTTTTGACTTGACCGTCCTTAGATTTCTTATGGCCCATTCCAACACTATTGCATGTCGCACGTCGAGGTAGTCGGTGATTAGAAATGTGTAACAGATGTACCAACTACCAAAGTTTATGGAGTTATCAGTGGTTAAATTGAGCCATGCTGGGGTGTGCAACCCTGCTTGTTAGGAAAAGTTTAAAAAGAAGTAAACCAGACTTGGAGACTTTGGATGACATGGTTCGACAATGGTTTCTATGGTATAAGTGAATCAATTCCTTATCAATCTCCAATTCTCGTATAATATCATTGATTTATACTTCTCTGCAATTGATTTTATTATTTTTTTCGAAGTAATTCTGATATATAAAGATCTTACCATTATTTTATATCCCGAACCTTGTAAAATTTTGTGTTCAACTTTTTTCCCATAACAATTTTTATTAAGTTAGCTGGGAGTGATCTAGATTAGTGTTTTATACTACTTTGTTTGTGAATAAATGATAAATTGGTATGTATCATTCCTGAAAGCACTCTTTCGCACCCATGATATTTATTTCTTTAAGAAACATACTCAATAAACTTGTTGTGATAAACACTTTTGATCGCCGTCATTTATATCTTGGTACCTTGAACGTATGCTACAAGAAAATGAAGGATAATCGTGCTGAAAAATTTAACAGTGAAAATCATGAAACGAGGGTGATCATAAAAAGCATCAGAAAATTAAGTCGTTGAACATTTAGTTTTGTTCTTAAAAAATCTTACTGTTTGTTAAAAATGTATGAATCTGGCATGCTACACTATTTTTATTTAAATTAAGTAAATGATATTATACCATAGACTATGAATTCATTCCTTTTTAAGTTATCATTTATGGTAATTCGGATTTTAACTTTAACGCTTTAACTGGCATTAAAGTGGTCAGTATTTATTACCTTTGAACTCTCCATGAGAAATATTTACGGCACAGCAATTAAAATTAACATGAACCTAAGTCCTCTTTTTCTGACAACAACTTTTCCACTCAATACCATATGGTTTTCCACTCTCTACACAAAAAACGTTTCTACTTACCGCTCACATGATAAACTTTTAATCAAATCAGATATTTTTACTGTTGGAAGAAAACCCTAGATTGGATAAGAATTTTAACAGTAGGTTCATCAATGTTGTGCAATGCATATGGCTTCTGTTACTAGTTTTCAGTGATAATATTTTGTAATTAACCTTTCCCAAAATAAAACAACATACCGTTTTTAATATCGTCAACTGGTATCAGTTCATATTGCAAAGAAATCAAAATAGCCAGTTGACTAAAACCAATAACTCAGAAGTGGATTTTTCAAATAAAACTTTTATTTTTAGATAATTATTATTTAAATTAAACACTCAACGGTTACAAATTTTTGAAGACAAATAAACGATTAATCATATTGTTTGCTCATGATTTGATCAAAAATGAAGCAACTCTATCTTTTTATGAATAACTTATTCAGCAACCAGAAAAGGCCAATAATGAAGTGACATGCTAACCTAAAAGTTTTGTAATTTGACTATTGATTTGTCGATTTCTGCTCAAAATCAACTCGGTATTGAGCAAAATTGTTTTTTTCAGTCATAGGCATCTTCCTAATTTTTTTTTGGAATAAAATACTAGGCAATCTCAAGTTAAATGGATGTACAATAATCGTTTGGTTTGGAAGAAAAGGTTTATTTTAATATCCGATAGATCGAATATCAGATTTCCGTTGGACTTTTAGTTTATGAATTTTTAGATTAGTACAAATACTACTGTAAAGAATGTACTTATATTTAGAAAAGTTTGTACATCTATCAACTTATTAGTTGTTACTGATAATAAAAATTAATATTAATATGTTGGCTTATGGTTTACATTGGAGCTTCAACTACGATATCCAGATAAATAATAAATTCTAAATCACTGGATAGAATTTAATCAATGGTAAATCTAACCATTAAAATCTTGTTATAGTTGACTTATAAAATAGTAAGTTATCGATTTTACTTAGATATATCTAAAGGTTATAAATAACGTTCCAGTCATTAAAAATCGAGTGTATAGTCACTTTGCGTACAACCCTAGGCAGATCCTAATTGTCCCAAGTTGCCATACCATAGTAGCACGATGAGAGGAAATTAAATGAATGTATAATATCCACGTTATTTATTTGAGCCTTATCAGTCTACACAAATTTGAAAATAATTAAACAGGTATTTATTTTCTTTGAAATCTTAGATTTTTGATGGTATTCACTACCTAGTTTTACTAGATACAAGGAATAATTAGAAGTAACTAGTGACCAAGTACTAGGTTTTCTCGTCGGTGTCCATTTTGTTTGATCATACAGATTAATAAAACCTGGTATTTCAATAAACATTTGTTTATTGGTGTGGGTTCAGTTATCTGTTACTAGGTTACCGAATATCTGTTTCCAACACGTTCTCTTGCAAGTGTTCATACTTCTCGATTTTTCATTTTTACCAAACGTCTTATCAGTTCTTGAACTTTTGATTTATTAAAATTTTTTCTATTACGTAAAAGATAGTACCTCTATTTGTAGACTAATATTCCTTACCAGTATTGCGAACACATTGGCTAAATGGTCTCAAAAACTTTATTCTCAAATGAATTTAGGTGCTTTTTATTTGCTGCGAACAATGGTGATTCTAAAGCTTGCATTTCAGCTCAAACAGCACTTGGCTATTTATACTCAGGACCAGAAATTCGTGATTTACAAAAAGCGTTTCAATGGCATTCTGATGCTTGTGGAAATGGTAGTGTTGAATCTCAAGGTCAGTGCCGTATTTACTAGTTATTAGTTATAGGTTTTATTAATAAACATCGAATTAGTTTGAAAAGTGTTATGTTTTCATTAAGTTTGATTAACTTGGTCTCGGAAACTGTGAAATCACTTTTGAAAACAGAAAAGATACTCACTACACTCTCATAACAAATTAAATTAATAGAGGACAAACAGCAATCATATTAAATAATTTTTAGTAACCATTGAATTCATAGTAAAGTAGTAATCCCTGTTATTTCCTACTTATTCTTTAACTGTATACGAACCACTGTGTGAAAACTGAGGATGACTATGAGAAATGTGAATGGACTATATTAAATATGAAACTAGTGAACCATGTATGTACAATATTTGAATTATTTTATACAGAAATCTGTTCTAGATATATCATTGTTTGCATAATGTAAAGAAGATAAGTAGTTAAAACAAGGTATTTTATAGTTTGGTCCATAAATTTTAAGCAAACCCAAATTAGTAAGCAACATTTTCCCTAAGATTTGTTCCTTTATAATTCAAATAGTTACTTACCGTAACTTTTAGGTTTCACTTACGTTAGGTATTGTAAGTTCGTCGAATACTGAAAGTGATTATGTTAGGTTTGGAGTAGTGACATTATTGTTTATTACTACATGCTAATGTAATAATTAAGCTTATGAAATTGTTTTAGATAGATAATATAAGAAATATATAATTTCAGTGGAAAATAACCCATATCATTAGATATTTTTTATGTGAAATAATATGATTTTTGACAGATCATTTATTTTTTTCAAATGGACCAATATTACTCAAAATAAGTTTTTATTCAAATTGAATGCTAGTTGTTGTAACAGGCATATATATATATATTCTTCGTCTACACGGATGGGACGTTAATTTGCCTTAGACGAATATATACACTGGATTCCCTTCTTGTATCTATTCCACAGGGTTTCAACACAACTCAGATTAAGAATATGCGATTAGCCTGACTAGGACGTGAATATATTTCCACACCATAATACCGACAACAAGACGACACAATCTAATCACGATCAATAATAATAATAAGGATAGGAGAATATATAACTCATCTAACGCCTGTCAGACTATCTACAAGTCTGACTAAACAAAATACCAATCATTGACGTCCTTGTCCACACATCGCCTTCTCACTGGATTACCATATCACCTTTCACTCCAAAAAATAAGTCTTGCTCATTGGCTCTAACTGAAGGCATTGAGGGAACAGTTGTCTTCTTGGAGTCTGGTCATCACTTCTTCTGCACTGATCTTGTCGCTTCAGACTGGCTGTATCAATTAAGTAACCTCGTGACAAGTTCCAGCTAAGAGGTTCTTTATCCGAATTCAGTAGTCTGTCGCAGATTCGGTTTGTATGCCGCATCAGGCATTTACTTCGAACATCAGTTTTGTACATCACGTCACCGACTCTTCTTACGATAACACCCACTACCCACTCAGGCCCACATTGTTGGAAGTTTCTTATATACACAAGTAACCTATTAAGAAACTGACGTTTCACTCTCCTCGTCTTGAGTTTGTAATCTCGTTTTCTTATTTTTGGATACATGCTATCAAATGAACTCTGAATCTCCCCTCCGAACATTGACTCGGCAGAGGAGACACTGTTGGGTGAGGCTGGATTCGGGGTGATTTTCTCCTCTGTGGCCTCCCTTATTACTCGAAAATCTCTGCTTCCATTTGTGCATCAAATGAGAATAAGAAGATACTTTGTTAAAAATAAGATTAAGTGATTGGTTGAACATTTCTAAATCTGGATTGCAAATAAGATTAAATGGGTAATCCAACATTTTTATTTCTGTGGTGCAGTCAAGACCCAATAGATTGAAGGATTTATCAGTGGCATAAAATTTGGATTTGATCATTAAATTTGACAATAGATTTAATAATTCCAGGAATTTTAATTATGATGCCCCACACATTCTTTATGCAATCAGTAGTAGGAAGAATGCTTGGCCGACCACGCTTGTGCCTAGTTTTGTGAGAAATCAAGGTAACATTGGATGCAGTGTTCAACTGTAGAGTGATAATACGATCATTAACATAAATGGATATGTAATTGCGTAAGCGTTTAAGGTTAGATTTTGGGAAAAGATACGCACAAGTGATTATCCTCGACATTTGATAATGAGATGGAGGTTTAGTGCATTTGCAAAATCTCCTCATATGGCCAGTTACTCCGCATTTTTAGCGTTTGTGGTAATTAGATAGACAGAAATGGGAGAAATGTCATGCCCCACAGTTCCAGAAACTATTGGGAGGTCTTAGAAAGTGACGTGGATTAGAGTTCTGGAAATTCAGTTTGGGTGAGGAAATTTTCGCGAGTCGTGCTTTGTGACATTAATACTTACTTACTTACGCCTGTTACTCCCAATGGAGCATAGGCCGCTGACCAGCATTCTCCAACCCACTCTATCCTTGGCCTTCTTTTCTAGTTCCATCCAATTCTTGTTCATTTTTCTCATGTCTATCTCCATTTCCCGGCGTCATGTGTTCTTTGGTCTTCCTCTTTTCCTTTGACCTTCAGGATTCCATGTGAGGGCTTGTCTTGTGACACAGTTGGGTGCTTTCCTCAATGTGTGTCCTATCCACTTCCAGCGCTTCTTCCTGATTTCTTCCTCCACTGGGATCTGGTTTGTTCTCTCCCACAGTACGTTGTTGCTAATAGTGTCCGGCCAATGGATCTGAAGTATTTTGCGTAGACAATTGTTAATAAACACCTGTATTTTTTGGATGATGGCTTTTGTAGTTCTCCAGGTTTCTGCCCCATACAGTAGAACTGTCTTGACATTTGTATTGAAAATCCTGACCTTGGTGTTGGTTGACAGTTGCTTTGAGTTCCAGATGTTCCTCAGTTGTAAATATGCTGCTCTTGCTTTGCCGATCCGCGCCTTCACATCTGCATCAGATCCACCCTGTTCATCAATGATGCTGCCCAAATATATAAAGGTTTTTACATCTTCCAAATCTTCTCCGTCAATTGTGATTGAATTGGTGCATGTTGTGTCGCATCGGAGAATCCTGCTTTTCCCTTTGTGTATATTGAGACCTATTGCTGCTGAGGCTGCTGCCACACTGTTCGTCTTCTCCTGCATCTGTTGTTGCGTTTGGGATAGAAGGGCCAGATCGTCTGCGAAGTCTAGATCATCCAACTGCATCTTAGATGTCCATTGTATCCCGCGCTTTCCTTCGGACGTTGACGTTTTCATGATCCAGTAGATCACCAGGAGAAAGAGAAAGGGTGAGAGTAAGCAACCTTGCCTAACACCGGTCTTCACTTTGAACGACTTTGTCAACTGTCCTCCATGCACGATTTTGCAGTGTAATCCATCATATGAGTTCTGTATGATATTGACTATCTTCTGAGGCACGCCGTAGTGTCGAAGAAGTTTCCATAGTGTTGTTCTGTCCACGTTATCAAATGCCTTTTCGTAGTCAATGAAGTTGATGTAGAGTGATGAATTCCATTCAATTGATTGTTCCACAATTATCCGTAGAGTTGCGATTTGGTCTGTACACGATCTATCCTTACGGAATCCTGCCTGTTGTTCACGAAGTTGGGCGTCTACGCAGTCCTTCATCCTGTTTAACAATATCCTGTTGAAGACTTTTCCCGGTATTGAGAGAAGAGTGATGCCCCTGTAGTTATCACACTTGCTGAGATCGCCTTTCTTCGGTATTTTGATCAGTAGTCCTTCTTTCCAGTCTTTTGCTACTTGTTCCTCATCCCAAATCTTATTGAAGAGAATGTGGAGTATCCGTGCAGTTGCCGCTACGTCTGCTTTTAGTGCCTCTGCTGGGATGTTGTCCGGTCCTGCTGCTTTGCCACTCTTGATTTGTCTGATGGCCATGCTGATTTCTTCAATTGTTGGTGGGCCAACATTGATTGGGAGGTCCGTGGGTGCTGCTTCGATGTTGGGTGGGTTCAGTGGAGCTGGTCGATTCAACAGTTCTTTGAAGTGTTCTACCCACCTGTTTTGTTGCTCTTCAATGTTGGTGATTACCTCGCCTTCCTTGCTTTTCACTGGTCGTTCTGGTTTGTGGCGATTTCCAGAGAGTTTCTTTGTCGTGTCATACAATTGTCTCATGTTTCCTTCTCTTGCAGCCTTTTCCGCCGTCGTTGCTAAATCTTCCACATATTTACGTTTGTCGGTTCTGATGCTCCTCTTCACTTGTTTGTTTATTTCCGTGTATTCAGCTTGTGCCTTGGCTTTTTCTGCTGGTATTGATAGCTGCCTTCTTGTTCCTCCTTTCTAGAATCTTATCCAGTGTACCAACAGTGATCCATTCCTTGTGGTGGTGCTTCTTGTGACCCAGGACCTCATGACATGTTGAAGTGATTGCCTCTTTGATCCCCTTCCAGTTGCTCTCCATAGTAGTTCCTTCTCCATTGAGTAGATCATGAAAGGCCTGGAACTTGTTGCTGAGGACTATCTTGAATTTGTTGAGTTTGTTAGTATCCTGGAGAAAGGCCGTATTGAACTTTTGTGATACTGTCTGCCCCGTTGTCCAGTGCTTCTTGAGTTTCAATTTCATCTTGGCGACCAGTAAGTGATGATCTGATGCTATATCAGCTCCTCTCTTGGTTCTCACGTCCTCTACAGTCCTCCTGAACGTTTTGTTGATGCAAATATGGTCGATTTGGTTTTGTGTAGAGTGATCCGGTGAAGTCCATGTGGTTTTGTGTATGCGTTTATGTGGGAATATGGTGCCGCCTATGACCAGCTTATTGAAGGCACATAGGTTTGCAAATCTCTCACCATTTTCGTTTCTTTCTCCCAGTCCGTGTCGTCCCATGATGTCTTCATATCCAGTGTTGTCCGTTCCAACCTTGGCGTTGAAATCTCCCATCAGAATGGTCAGGTCCTTTGTTGGGCACTTCTCGACTATTGACTGCAGCCTATTGCAGAATTGATCTTTAGCGTCTTCATTGTAGTCGTTGGTAGGCGCATAGCATTGGATGATGTT